ATTGCAATACCCGCGTATTTAAGACTTTGTTATTATATTTTCATCTGTAACAAGATGATATTGTAAGTATCATTTGATACATTGTTTTGTTCGATATATGTTTTAGTCGATATATTTTTTTAAATACTCCGATACTACCAATAATCAGTTCATTTGTATAATTTAAGTTGTATTATGTAGTGACATTGTATAGAGCTATTGTTCTCGAGCAGTGTAGCGGATCCAAAACATCAAAATACGTATGAATATATTAATCCATTATAAACTTTATACATATAATATATATTAGGCTTTATACATATGTATACGCTTATAAATATAATATTATTTTACGTTTAATACCCTTAACGTGATAGATATTATAAGAATTCTTTTTCCTTTACGCCAGTTCGAATAATAAGCGGTATTCAATAATGTCGAAGTGATTTACTTCTTATTTTCAACCTCTCATAACATCCTAATTCAGGTATAATGTAAAATATGTAGTATAAAAATCTTTGACAGTGTAATCAACCTTTTAAAAAAATATTTAATAAAAAAGCACTTAAGTTTTTGGTGTTACAAATATTGAAAGTACTCTCTTGCATCGAAAGTACAAAATATAATAGAACAAAAGAACTTTCGAATAAATAACACCGCTAGGTAACCGCTAACAAACTAAGTAAAAATTTTTACACACAGCATACTGTTCAACATTTACAATAGTTATAAAATAGATATTTACACGTAGAGATAATTGTACAAGTTGAATGTTTATATAAATTATAATTGTTCTTAGCTGTCATATACATTGTATATGAAGGCAAGCTACGAGTTCTTTCATTAAAAAAAAAAAGAAGTTTCAAATACTATTTACAATAGCTTTGATCACTTAGTTGGATTAAGTTAAAAATATCTGGTCAGAAAATTACTCTCGTTTCAACGGTTTTACCGCTGCCTCCGGCATCGGAGATTTCCTCATTAGGTAATCTTTAATATTTTGGAACGGCGTGTCGAAAAGTAACGTGAGAGTTATGGACAAAGTAACAATCCACAAGAACTCAGCTAGATTGAACTGCAAGCAAATATATAATCATATCATTTATAATAATATATTTATTATAATCTCTGACTTACTTGCATTTTGAAGAAATCGAAATATTCAGCACTTCGAGTTCTCCCAACGTTATAAAAATATATTGGGAACTGCGTTAAATATATTGCGTAACTCAAACGCGTGGTAATCAAAAATCCTTTCCATGCTAAAAATCTGCTGAACCAGCCTGAAATTTTATTCGTCACGAATCCACTCGTAATTATGAGATAATATCCGCCGTAAACGATTCCTTACCATTTGTATTTTTCGTATGGTACATCACGGTGGCCCAAGCGAAAAGGGCGCACCACCCTATGGGAGCAAACGCGTTATACATTGCCGCATCGATTGGATTATACACGTAATCTATAGACCCCATCCCAGCGGGTCCAAAGAATGCGCAACAAAACATTATCGTGCAGAGAATCCAACCCGTGCGTAGAGCAATCTGAACGAATAAAGAATGATAATCTTATACTAATAAATACTGAATCAATGGTAGATACTCACCTTATTTATTTTATAATCCCTTGGCAAATACCTCAACAAATATCCGAGAAAAATTCCTACTATATAAATCGTTAGTCTGTGCGCTGGTAGAGTGTACGAATAATTCGCAGTGTCGAATAATTGTTTTATTCTGTAATTAGAAGAAGTGAAACCATCACAAGCAGCCGGAGACAAAAAACGAATTAAATAAAATATTTCTGTATAAATTAACTTACGATGTACCGAAGAAAACGTAATTATTCAATTGCCTGTAATATGTTACGAAATATCGAAGCGCCGTTGATATCAAAGCGCACATAGTAAGAACGATACTTCCAGTCTTTGGTTTTTTATACAGAAGAATCACCATTAAAGGCGAGAGAATGAATAATTGAGTATCTATCCCTAAATGATGAGTATGCGTGAGACACTGGAATTAAGAAACCTCTTTAGAAAGACTGTTCGCAGTTCGTTAATTTTCTAAGACAAAGTTCATACCATGGATTCAAATCCGAAGTAGTTATGAATGAATAGAAAATTTCTCCACCACGTCCGTTTGCAAATATTTGCATGTTCAGTTACTACCAAGTTCCATTGTGGCCCAGAGCCAATATAAGGTATTATGTAAGTACAAAACAACATCAACGCAGCTAAAGACGGTACCACCCTAAATAAATAGTATTAATTTACTATATTTTTAACACCTAAGCGGGAATGAAACCACTGATTGTAGATATTGAACGATTCTTATCACCTAATCCATCGGGAAAAGTATTCATTGATGATATTCAAATTCCCAGTCCTTCGTAGCTTTCCAATAAACGAATACGAAGTTAAAAGACCAGAAAGCATTATGAAAGGGTCGGTATAAAGACTAGCAGCTCTTCCTATGACCGTCCACGGTTTACCAAGATACTGAAAACAATGTAAACTGTACGATCCTTTATCTGACTTTCGTTTTTGATAGCTAAACATGAGTAGAAATGGTACCTCGCTCATTTCAGTTCTATTCATGTACGGATTAAAAAACAGTGCCATGCTTTTATGAGCTAGAAGCAGCATTAAAGCGTTTATAGCTCGCACACCGTGGAGCGTGGCTATGTCGTTCTGTTTCCGTTCTACCGACACGAGACTCTTGAAATTGCGTTTTAAAGAAAACGATAACAGTAGTTCGCTAGCAGGTATTTCGTAGTGATCGTAATACGCTGCTATAATTGCTAATGCAAATATAACTAAAAAGAATAAACTGAAAGAGATCCAATTAACATTTTAATACACGTACAAATATTGTTTCTTCATGAAGAATAAAGTATTTACCTAACGATCACAGTTTCCCTTGGCAGAGGGTCTTTTCCCTTTACCTGACACATTTCTTTGTTCACCGTTACTTTAACTTTGAGACCAGTTTGCAAAGTGTATTTCGTAACAGTGTCGCGAATAGATGTTTCAACGTCTTTGAAACTGCACGAAGCCGGGGTGCATACCGCCCAATTTATTATAGTGTACCTGGGTACTCGATGTCCAGGCTGATCAGACATTAAGATAAACTCATGTTCAAACGAGAAACAATAGAAGCGATCGGAATTTTATAAAATGCGGAAATATTCGCGGTGCAAGTGGGACCAACAAATATCTATGTAAATCGTGACATTTCTAGAGAAATCTGTTAAACAATAGTTTAACATTTGGTCGACTGGCACTTGTGGTAAAAATGGGAACGTGTTATGAATTTTAAACGAGACGAGACGTCTCAAAGCGCGCGAAGAGTCGTAAAGGAAACCGCGTGTGAAAATATTAATGATCTCTCATTTTCATCGGAATCTTTCCTCGACTCTGTAAATGCTAATATCGACTAACAGTGAAAATATATAACAAACAGATGCGGCTCGTTGAAACAATTTCTACAAGTTTTACAATATGCTTTTAGTCAATCTAACGTAATTCGAGAAAGTGATTCGTGTCGTTACTTGTAACACGTTTCGCATCGGAATTGCGTTCTGTATTTCAGGATGTGACGAAAATACTCGAATACGATTTACAGTATTACGAACGCGTAATTCATCGTCGAATCTTCTCGTGTGCCAACAATTCTTACGTCCAGACGTCAGATATTACTAAAGTTAATTAGCAACAGAGGTAGTGGTCATATTCAAATCTCGGTTCAAGTGTTTTTTCACTCTAAGATTCTCGTCGTCGAACGCATTGATATTTCCGAGCGCGCGTCGTCGTGAAAAACGCGGATGTTCGCACTTCGAAACAAACATGTGTACGCGCGCATACGTACTTACATCGGTAATGTTGCTTCTGAACGCGTAATGGGAATGGAGCAATCGATGAAGATGCTTCAGATCCGGCCGGGACTCGTCGACGCTCAATTCGAGGTACGCTAAGCAGTACTGTCCTTGAATACCCTCGCTACCTTGGACACCGATGCATTCGTCGAAATCACCAAACTGATTTACATTTCCGTTCAGAAGGCCAGACGGTATCTTCGCCGTCGCGTCGTACACTTGGAGAACGAGAGGACAGTTATCAACGACGCTTAATGTTTAAGAAATTGTATTATTTTATAGAATTACGCTCGACTGCTTATGCTCACTTTTGAGTGCCCATAAAGTAAACTTGGCCAGTTCCTGATGGAAAATGTCCGAATGCCTCTTGCACTCCGGACTCACGCGTCCGACGCCAGGATCGTAAGCTGGAAGAATTTGTAACAACGTTCTTGCCTCCCGATCAATTTCTTCTGAAAACTCATCTAAAATCATACGATATTTCGTTAGCCAAGAGCGTGTCCAAGCTTCGCAAGTCAGATCGGGCGAGGTCAAAAGTGTTCCAGAAAAAAGGTTGATCTTAGGATTTTTAGGTCGGTCGCTACTTTAAGAAAGACTTTCACACTCGTCTCGAGGGTACAGGTGTATGTACCGCAATGGAGCAACGCGTTTCTACGTGTTTCGCATGCGAGTGAAGATTTCAGTGCAGAAAGAAAAGTCTACCCCGTCTACGAAGGTTCCTTCATTGATATGCTACGACACGCGTTAAGATACTTTCCTTCAAGCGTGATTTTTTTCTGTAAATCTGACATTGCTCTTATCTTGCGAGATTTTTCTAACGATAAGTACCAATAATTTCCTTCGAAATCTCTGCTCTCCAACTGAATCGATTTCAGCAACGATTCATAACAAGCTTGAAACTGTGTGTGTAATTATTGGAACTCACACTACGTATAAAATATTATCTATTGTAAAATAAATTGAACATTAAAAAAGTTTTTGAACACTTTAGTAATATTAGATATTGAATAAGAACAATTTATTGTTTTACATATGTTATTGCGTGTGCAGTAATATTTTCGACATTAAAACTTCCCACGCTTCATTTATCTGTTATTTTATTACACGGTTTATATTATACTTGACTGAAAACTTTTTGCATACGTTAAATAAGATGTCAATCGTGAAAGTGATTTTCGTAACAAGCCATTAATGATTGTTCGAAGCGCTAATATACCCGCAATAGAGGATGACCCGATTTCTACAATTTATCGTAACGAAACGTCGAGCGACATTTTTTTGCAATAAGGGTCAATGAACTGAGAATAGGACCGGATACATCGCGTCTGCGACTCTTCGTTTCGAAATTACCGTGGACTGAGAAACAAAACACACAGTGTAATTCCACTTGTTGCAGTATGATCGTGCGTTAATATTATTGCATGTATAGATTTGTGAGTTTATTCTGATAACACAGAGTATGTTATAATCCAGTCAGTGATACCTTTAGGAACTGAAGCATGAGATTGTTAAAATGTTGGTTTATGCAGAAGAAAATATCGAGTTTCATAAAAGAATTGCCTATCCTAATATCCCTAAAAAAATACTGGTTAAACATATAAAATACATGGAAAACCATTGTTAATCTCGAAAATCGCTTAACTTGGTTTTGGTGGCAAAATTATTTCTGTCTAATTGTCAGATGAGAGATGGAACATTGATTCCCAGTTATCTTTATAGGAATAACTAATATATGCGAATAAACATTAGAATATGAAACTCATCAAGGAATTTTGACTTTTGAACACTGGAACTTCAAGTTTACTTAGCGGATTAACCGCATGAAGTTTACCTATAAAATTAGTTCCTATTATGTTAAAATCAGAAATCTGTTGAAGATGCACGTGATCGCCGTAACTCGTTAACGAAATTATGAAACTCGTTCTTTCGGCAGATTTTTACACAAGCAAAAATGCTTTTTAATTGACGAAGTGGTACGGTACGTAAAAGACGTCATCGATTCGCACCTGCTAAGCTAATTTTGGGAGTTAATCGAACACGCGAAACATGTCCTTATGTCGAGCGTGACAAAAATTACAATCAGCTTTGACTACTCAGCAAAATTTTACGAAATACCCTATATAGATAACGTTAGTTAACACAGTGACGAGATAAACAGACTCATCATCAACTATATACGAATTACAAGTATAACTGTTTTTTTTTCTTTATTACGACAAGTGAAATTGGGCTGTGTAACAAAATCGCATAAGGTATGCAAACACTGCACATAATTGAAAATCGGAGCTGAACCGCGTGCATTTCGAAATATGGAAAGTAGCTGTACCTTTTTCAATCACCATTAAGGGGCGATTTAAAAATTTGTAGGCTTAATTGTTGCACCTATCAAAACGGAGCCGGAGATCTATTTTCAAAACACACGCGTAGGATCGGCGGATTCGTCACTGAATGAAATACGTCAATGACGACGACTTACTTGACTGTCCTTCGATGTAACGAACTAATTATTATAATAGACACACGAATAGCATAACTAATAACTTGTTATAATTCAAGGGTGAGTCGTTGTACAGAATATTTTTTTTACTGATTTATAGTGAATTGCATTCGATGATTTTTACTTGAGAATCATCTCGAAGATAGTTCATGTATGATCTAAGTAAGTTATCAAAAAAAGTGAGAACAGTCTTATTACCGAAGTGCAAAGTAAGCAAACAACCTGTCGGTCATTTTTCATGTGATTATCGCACAATCTTTTCTTAAATGAATGTAAAGTTATACAAATTACGGAACACTATGTCTAATTGATGACTATTCCTCTTCAGTAAAGAGCTAAAGTATACTTATTAAAAAAAAGACACTCGATCGCCTGCTTCAATACTAACGTAGCCGTAGAATTCGCAAATATCTGTTTAATTCTCAACCACCTAGCGACGATGCGCATGCATTTTGCGTAATCTCGTCGATTTACGAATATAAATGTCTTGTCCCCAGATAAATTACGATCTTCACTCGCGGATCCGATACGCGATAACTTCTAATTATCATTAGACTCTCGACGCTTACAGGTCTGTAGGAAAGCCGGAGGTAGAAGATGAAGCAGATGCGACGTTAAAAACTGGGAACCATTTCTATCATTCTTTCTAAGATCCAAACGTTTGAAATCAACGTAGGAAACGTTAATATTTTTTCTGAAACGTACCGTAGAACGGATTGATCTCCAGTTTCTTTGCACTATTGTTGCTCGCTTCGAATGTTTCATTTTTTAAATGCTCGATCAGATCGGTCAGCGTGAAATTATTTGAGGACGTAGTCGTGTTTCGTGACAGAACTCTCAGGATCTCCTCTTCCTCCAGGGTGTTCAGAGTGCTGGACGTCAGTATATCCACCGATTTTCCACTGTACGAAAGTTTTATCAGTAAAAAAATCGTCCATGCTCTGATGAACCCTCCCATGGTTGCGGTACGCGATGAACGAACACGGAAATCTACTAATTGCCTCCAAATCACGAGCGTCAAGTTGTTCGATTTTGTCCACGAGCAACAGCCGCGACGATCCCACGCGATTCGTCGAACATACGATTTTGGAAGGCGTTCAAAAATTCTGTTCACGAACGAACTCCACAGGTGGCATGTGTTTTTGCCAAAAAATTATTTTACCGAATGTTTCACAGACTCTGTATTCTTGATCGTTCGAAGGCGAGCTTTATGAGTGATCGTGAAACGATGGACTCACCTAGGTTCACGAATAGGGCGCAAGAAGAGGGGTGAACACCGCGCTCTTCCTCTCCCACCACTCTGTTCGTCTTCCAAAGACCTTGTGATCCTACGTCAAATTGTTCAAGACAAGTTTTCTTGCGTAAATTAAGTACATCGCTGTTGTTTTTCACGCCGTTTGCGATTTAAACGTTGTATCAGTTATCATAAGTGATTTGTTTAAAAAATGACGATACGTATTATATTATGTTGATCTTATACATATACATTAACCGCATGTTTCGTGTTTTGTTCGAATCACAAAACGAAGAATGAAATTGCAACATTCGTGGAAACATCGTCGAAGCCAGATTCATTTGAGATATTCACAGTGAGAGCATCCTTGCTTATAACTGAGCGTTAGGATGTGACAACGGAGCTGAACTGATAAAAATTCGGAAAGCATTACCGCGGGTGGAATATGTTTAGTGAGAATAAAAATCCATGAACGAAGGACAGCATTCTTTTCCCTGGATCCACAACGCCAGGACGCTGAAGCAATACAAATTTCGTATCTTTCCGCGTATTCACCAATGTGCTAGTGCGTTGAACCGGTCGAACCTAAGCTATAAGAATTCAAACGTAATTTTAAATTCCAAAATGAACGTAGATATCTCTGTTTCATTCTCTATGTTCTTGCTTTCTTCTGAATCCCCGTCGTTCGTTAATTGACTATGTGTGATTTGTTCTTCACATTTCACTGAAGTAATCTACTGTTGGATTATCCGTTTTCAATCGCTGTTTTTGTAACGGAGCCAACAGTAAATTACACGTTTATGAAGAACACGTTAGCTTCGACGTGCGTATTGCAATAAAAAATGGGTCGGGGCCCTCTGCATGTTGCATTCTTTAGTAATTCATTGCGACACATTTTATTCCTGTTCTGCATCAATTACGGTTTTGACTTGAAATTTTCACCGCAGTGAAAGTAACACCGTTGTACTCTACTAATCTCTGCCTGGTATTGTTAAGAACAATCTGGCTGTCCTTAAACTTGAATTCATTCAGCCGTCGAATACAAATAAAATTTCGAGTGATCAACTGCATTTTAACAGCTACTTTTGTACGAATAAGCATTTGTATACATGCTGATCAAACACGTACACCCATTATTACGTCGACGCGTATATCAGTCTTATTCAATTGTCCATCGTACGCATGCGAACAGTAGTAGACGTATTTTAAACTACTGTGCAATTATATACCTATTACGTAGACATACGAGAATAGACCGAGTGCCTAAATAAATTCTCTGATGTCTATGATCTGCGAATAATAAATTTACATGCTTAAATAGCTTTAAGAAATAAATTAAAAACTCCGGGGTATAGTGAAACCGAAGCGGTTTTTAATTCCGGGTGCATTGATTTGCGATGCATTATTTAAAGGTGCACGAGGCATGCATACAAAAATTGGAACCGGTAGTGCTCACGAAAATCGTTAATTCACCGATGCTCTTTATGTGTCAATGGATCAGTGAACGCTGATCAAAGAAAAGTGACAATAAATTCATTGTCGATTCATAGGACGCGGCGCTCGCGGAACGACGACGGTCCTTCTTTGTAATATTACGCAGAACATGCTACTTATTTTAATTATAGCTGGCTACATCATCACGGTGCATGGAAGTGTCACCTGCGAGTTGTTGAACCTAATACAGTTAGTATAATTCAAATATTGCATTCCGGGTATTTCTAAAATCGAACAGGAACCGAGTTGCGTCCATAAGGACATTTTCAAGAGGTGCATTAAAGTTAGATTTGCTTATTCCTGATGCATAAAATACTATTGCCCTTCGGTAAGAAGGTATCCGTAATTGATTTGAAAAAATCCATGTTTAAAACATGTATATTATACAATATTATGAGAGTCTTTTTTCTAGTTAGATGAAAAGAACTGGCTCCACGTTTATTTTTCGCTACTGTGCATATTCATGGAAAATTTAGAAGAATGACATTACGGAGTTAATTAGTGTAAAGATAGGAGTTAAAATCAACTTTTACATAATTTCAAATTATTTCCAGGAACAACACTGTTTCCATTATGTCACGGATTACGCTAAAAGACTTAGTCAACAATGTGTAAAACAAATAATCAATTAAGAACTGACGAAAAGGAAACATTCGAAGGAGTCGTTTTAACGTCAATTAGAAAAAATTGCGCACGTCTTATGCGTGACTTCAAACTTTCTTATAGATCTCTTATTGTCTTCGGTATCATACGAAAATGTTCAAGTACCTGTGCACGCACTTTGTTCAAGGCGGGAAACAAATCTGACGAAAGCTTCGCTTACGTAATTATTCGTTGACGGCATCAGTTTCTCTATTCCGCATTGTTCAGTTCGAAATATATACAGTTACAAAGTACGTGACGTTTATGAGTAATAGGCCGAATCTTCTAAACGACCGTTCGAGAAAAGTTTGCAAGAAGTTTTGATTCATTCAATGAGTTACATGATTCTTTATTTCGAATAAATTACGCAATATGAAACTTTTAGAATCTGAGCATATAAGTATTTATTAACATCACTGACCTCGATTGTGTGAATGATATCCTCTCGACAAGTAGAAATCAAGATGTAGACACTCCATTAGAATTCTATCGCGTGCAACCGAGTGCATATTGAATATTCAATTAATTATCTATAACACTTGTATCACTCGCATTTCGCAATATCTTGGTAAACAATAAAAGCTTCTGGTCGATGCAATTATGGATAACGTTTTTCCCAAATGCAATTTGGAAAACGAAAACTTGTTTCATACATCGCAAGCGCGCACTGAACTAGCTGACAAAAAACACTGAAAGCGTCATCTATTTCGCAAACAAATCAGCCATGAATCGTTATCGACAGCTATCAAGGTACGTCGATAAAACAAACCAAGAGCGGTAGGTTTCAAAAAATTGCAGTTGCATTCCTCAAGTACAAGTCTATAGTTGACCTCTCGGATTGTACTCAACGAAAGATTTGTTCAATCGATGGGTTACAACCGGGGTATTCCATGACTCGTGAATGATTACTTACGTGTATATTTTCCGGATGAAAATGAATGAAAAAAGAAAAACAAATTGGCTGTGTGAGCGATGATGTCATTGCCCCGACAGGTTATGAGCAGTGCTGCCCGAGGATGTCAAGATGGCTGCCACGTACATCTGATCGGAGGTGTGTGCGCTCGCGAAATTTGACGCCGAACTGTGATAAAACTGGCTGTCTCTTCCGAGTCTCTGACATGGTGACAGTGCGGAATTAATCGGCTAGTATCCATGATCACCACTCTGTACACCCTCGATGATAATTTTTGTCGTCGCGGCCGCCGGCGGCTCGCATTGAACCATGTTCAGCAAGAAACTACATGTAGACGTCAAAAAGTCAACACTGAAGATCCAGGATGTTAAAAAGGATAGCGCGACTCGGTTCAAGCATCTTAAGATTGTACTAGGTGAGCTCACGCTTATTTCGCTCGTTTAATCATACGCGTTCCATGGATCAGCTAGCGTTAATCCGTCGTGAAAATTAATAATCACGAACGGGAGCAGTTTCCAAGTGCCAGTTAATGAACACGACGGTGGTCGAAGGAGTGGGGCGGCAATTTCGTTAGCATTTGCCGCCTACACATCAACACCGAGATCACTTTAACACTGTTGTAGAATTCTCGATTTTTCTCATTGAACACACAAGTTGATTCAATTTTCCTGCTGGGAATCCAATCCTTTTCATTGTATTTATGTACGATATTTAGATATTTTGTATAAAAATAAACAAGCAAAACGTTCAATCTTTTATGATAGTTGGAATAGTTTTATGTATTTTTTGGAATAATAAATCTTATAAGCATCAGTGAGTAACGCTGTATAATGAAGGCAATAATTTGTGTGCAATCATATCTTAATAGTATAATATTGAGTAGCAGTATCTAATCACCAAACCGCACAACCACAGTGACCTACCTATTGTGACCTCCAATTTTAGCTAATGTTACATTATTTATTGTACATAGATAGAGCTGTATCTTTAAATGTATAATTGCTGTCAAACAATAAAGGATCATGCTAACTTATCGCTTGCATTATATCATATATGCAAATGAATGTTAACAAAACTGTTGTCATTGTAGTTTTCAATGCCCCTGCTTCTTAAGGATACGTTTATAAAGATTTTAAATAGCTGTACTTGCCATTATTGATTGTAAATTGTACGCTTTACGTTTTGTCAAAATATACAAAATTATATGATTCCATTTATATGAGATCATAAAAGGAAAAACTTAAGAATATACAAAGAAGCTTTTACCTCTCCTATCCCTTAATTTTAGATCTCCATTTTAATTGAATAAGAAAGATATTGATATTCCTTTTTAGAAAATGTGGACACTGATGAAGCAAAAGGGTTTTTTGAAGGAAACTTCAGTCATGTCTATTTTATTCTGTACGATTGTTTTGTGTCAGCTGAAGCCAATCTGCGGCAACGAGGTACTTACCATTACATCTATCTTGTACTTTTAGCAATATGCATTACAATTGCATTGCATAAAAGTATAGATTCCGATTTCTTTCAATGTAATCGAATACTATTTTATTTATAAGACTAAAACTATATATATCTTAACATTATATGTGTATAATATTTGCTAAACTTTTAATCTTGCCATTACTTTACTATTTGCTTGTTTTCTTTCTATTTTGCTGCCAGAACTTTCCTTCCACATTGGTGAGTAACAGACAGACGGCAGAGCATATGCCCCTTGCATGTTGCAATCTGAGTTCCATTAATCTGATCATTATATTTGATCATACAAGTATAATATCATTCAGACTAGTATGTACATAAAATATTATGAAAACTGGTGCTTTTTTCTTCTTTTTTTTCTTCATTCGTAACGTATTAAATGACTATTGCACGATCGAACATTATACATACATTTAACAAGCATTCTACTTATAGTGCAAAGAGCACATAGGGAGGAATTGGAGCAGGTACTACAACTCTTAGAGAAAGTTTTAACGCTTCTCCCCGAACTTCTTAATAGAAGATGGCAATGTCATAGCTTGGCGAGGATTTTGCAAAAACTTTTACATCCTGGTAATAGTTGGAAACTCCGAAGGGAAGCTATAAGGTATACATACGTGTGCATTCGTTCGTTTATTAAAATACACGAGGAGACTTGTACTCGTTCATATTTTTTATATAATGTATCCTAAATTGATTTTAGATATTTTATTTTGTGGTACCAAGCGCTTGGAGAAAATGCACCGAACCACATACATCAAATGTTTGCGAGCTTGGTGCCAGGGTTTCCACCCCAGCAGCCGTCTCCTTATAAGTCTGATAGAAGATCGGATGGGAAGAAAGATAAACTTGTTAAAGCTACTGGTTGTGATGATAGAGATAAAAAAGAATTTTATGATACACAAATGTCACAAAGTACTTTTCACGACAGCAGTTTTAATCAGTGTCCTGTCACTCCCGTTGATAATGGACCTATTCTACCTCCGCAAAGTGGGGAGAAACCTCTTGATAATGAGACTGTTCGATTTTTAGAAGCGTTACTTGAATTTATGGTTTCTCAGGTTCGTCTAAACGTTTTTAAATCCTGACATTGGATACCACTGAGCAATGATAACCAGGCAGCGTATGTTTCAGGTTGTAAAGATAGAATGGAGAGATAAATCATCGCGGCAGCACAAGACTTTTCAATTTTTATTAGAACGTTTTAAGGCCACGTACCTTCGGTACATCTGTCCTGAGTTCGACGATAATTTCTCATTGTACAAACCGAATTTAGAATTGCCTACGATGCGTAAACCAACGAATCAAAGTCAGGATGTATATGTATTATGTAAAGTTGCTTTGATCAAGTGGATCGCTAGTTTTACCCATATTGCTAGGAAAGATGCTCGCGTCGCACACCTTTCGCATAGGTAGCGATACCTTAACATTACATGGACTTCGTAAACAATAGTTTTACAATTTATGACGAGACAATTTTCTCTTTAGCACAACTCCGAATGAGGAACACACAGAACCAGAACTTCGTCGAGTTTCAGTTACTCAAAGCTCTGCTGACTCGTCTTTGTTATCACCCGACTCGTCCATGTCTCAGCCAGAAAATCAGAATCAAGAAGATAGTACGGTCACAGCGGTTACTCTCGTCAGAGATGTTCTTTATAGTAACAGGGATAACGTGAACTTCGTACACGAATTGTACAGACAAGCATTTTTGCTGGACTTCAACCATGCCGGTGCTATAAGGAAGGCTATAGCCGTTTACAAAGATTGGATTCAGATGAATGTAAGCTTTTCATTTATAGATCATGTCATTACTTACAGTTGTATATCGTTACTTTTCACACTAGGAACTTCCACCGTTCATGTTGGAGCCGTTAGATGGTCACAAGGAGAGGGACTTAGAGGAGAATGCGAAAAGAGACGGAAACGATATCGATAAAAGTCCATCCGAAAGTTATCGTCAGACGAGATTAAGGAACGATTCTTACCTCGGTGCTATACATAGAGAGAATTTGTTTATAAGGGCCGGACTGCAAAATGTTTTGCAGATATTCATTACACAAGCCTCTAACGTATTTTTTCTGGAAAACTCTGGACCGAGCGCATCCTTAACGTTACTCGAAGAACAGACCGATAGTTGCAAGAGAGTATTAAACGTGTATCGATACGTAGTAATGAATTCTAGATTAGAACCAGCTACTTGGGAACAGCTGCTCAGGTAAGTACATTTGGAATGATTAGTTTATTTTCAGATTACGCGATTTATTAATCATTTATTAAAAATTCATTAGGGTGTTACTGCAAATAACATCGCTTGTTTTGAATGAGAAATCGTCTCGACGGAAAGTTCAAGAGAGCATCGGTGGTAAACTCGCCCCTGCTATATTCCAAACGTTGATTGTTACATGGATTAAAGCTAATTTAAACGTTATTATTTCTACGCAATTGTGGGATCAGTTTCTGGAAGTATTAACGTCTTTAACGCAATGGGAAGAATTGATTCGTGAATGGGCGGTGAGTCTTGATTATATTACGATTAACGAGTTGTACTGTCTTATACTCTATTATTATTTAACAGAAAACATTGGATACTTTAACGAGGGTACTTGCTAGACACGTCTATAATTTGGATCTGAACGATCTTCCATTGGACAGATTGAGCGAGCAGAAAACTAAGAGACGACGTGGTGTTGGGAGTCGTGCCGCCTCTACGGGAAGTGTTCAACCACCGCGCAAAGGGAGCGTCGACCAAGATAATAACACTGTGTCCGAAAAGAATGTTATCGGTAAGAACTTCTATTGGAACCCTGAAACTTGGATGTGAAAAAATCAAACAATTATTATTCATAGATCATCCGATACGAGATTTGAGAAAAGTACGACCTCTTCCTCGTAGTGCGAGCGACAATACGATCTATAGTGCGAAGGCGCGTACGAAGCTTCATAGAAGTCGCGTACATACCGTGCACAGCGGTATTCCCGGTAAGTGACATATCGGACATCGAATTCAACAATGATCTATCTATCAACATTACAGTTTAACGATCTATATAATTTACTAGTGCCATCTGTGTTGCTGATAGCGCGTGCAATTTATTTATAACTTTGTCTCTGACTTTTCGCTTTGAAGCTGACACTAGTTTAAAAATAACTAGTCTGGCGAGTCGGTCAGACACTTGTCTCGTTTCATATATATCTTTTTGTCCCTTTATTACTGCTCCTCGTTCGCAACAATCCTCTTTGCGCGTCTCTCCGCTTTCTCCCAATTGTAGACGACAAAGCATCTGCTCGAGTTCGTTCTCGCCATTAAACATTCTCTTCCTCTTAGTGGTGTGGCTTATTTGTGTTAATTAAGTGTAAACAAATTTCCAAACGCGCAGTACTACCCCTATCGATAGAGCAAGACATGGCCCGGCTGCTGTCAAACAGTTCTGCAACGTCGTCGTCAGCTGGTCGAAAAATGTTACCGAACAGGCGGGCTAAGTCTTTGGATAGTATTGTTATAGTCGATAGCGAGCCACCATCACCGCGTTGCCCTTCTCCTACACCGAGCAGCGGGGTCGACAGCAACAAAGACAGCCCGATACAAATTGAGAATATTGACGGCAGTAGTATCGGTAAGTATTATCGTTTGACGCTGTCCAGCATCTGCCAAATATACTCTCATTGGTAACTCATCAGGCATTCGTAAATCTTAGAGATCTATAAGAGATACAATACAAATAATTAGTGCCTGATTAGTTATTTGTGTAAGAATGACATTTTTAACTGCATAACAACGTGTGAACATTTTTTTCAACTATTCTTTGTTTGTTTTTCTTCTATTTTACGCATAAGGATTCACGGATAAAGAAACTAACAGTGAAATATTATATTCATTAAATAATAATATATTGTTTCGCGCCCATTACGCTTCGCTTTCATTTATGTAAATTAACGGGAAAAACTTATATGAAAAATTCTTTTTATTTATAGTGCCAAGTTTGATATAGCTAAACGACATTGTATATTTCTCATATGTTTGCAATGCGTTTGCATTCGGCTCCCTAATAAATTTTTAGTTCATCTCAATTGATGAAAATCTTTGCCGCAAATTTCATTTCTTCTCAATCTCGTTTATGCTCATCATATATTATTCAATTTTCAGACACTAACGATGCATCAGAGAGAAGATCAGTTATGGCAGGCGGAGGTGTTCGTGGATGGTTACCCGACGTAGCGGTAGTATTATGGCGGCGCATGTTATCAGCTTTAGGGGATGTAAATAATATACAAGATCCTACCCTTCACGGTCAAGTAATGGATTACCTCGTTCAACTTACGCAAACACTTATAAAAGTATGATACTTCATTCATTATGCTCTAGGCGAGGCACCTATAAATTCTATACTATTGTGCATATTATTTAGATTCGTCTAAATCAGGGTGTATCTGGAGATAATCAAGCGACACCTCCAGCTCCAGAACTTATACCTCCGCTGACAGTAATCGCTCCGTGGTGTTTCAAGGTTGATATTGCTACTCTTTATAGTGCTTTGATGTTAATTTAAATTCAGCGTTTCATCAGAGTATTGTATAACTATTTTTAGGCGATACAACTGCCCAGTCAATACGAAGTTGGCAAATTGGCAGCGTACCGTTTGATCTGTCTGTTAACTGTTCAACCTCAGGATATCAATCTACCGAAACAGCACTTGACACTCTTTTATCGAGCAGTTCATAACGGCATCGTTAGTAACGATAACAAAGTTTTACACGTGCTGGTTAAATATACCGGCCCTCGATTATTCAGTTTGAATCTACCTGGAAGCAGCCTTTTGATTTTGGATTACATTCACGCTGCTAATGTAATATTGAGCGGTCATGACATCGAGGTATTACATGAATTTCACTATAAAATATCGCGTTGTTATGGGAAACAGAAAATCACGAGTAATGTTATAGGCGCCAAGGACAGAAGCTGTTTCGATAATTGGATCGTTGTTGTCGTTACCTGCCACTACTACTAAATTACCCGTGCTGCAACCCACCGGATCGGATATCGTGACTATGACATGCCCAGATGCAAAAGTATCAGATTGCAATTACATAGTAACTTGTTTCAAATATAAGCTATTTTGATACCGATCATTTTATTCTAGGAACATATAATCACGATCCTCTTAAGAAGTTGTAGGCGAGAACCAACTGGTATTGCGAGATGCGTGGCTCTCTCGAGTATTGCTATGTTCGTATACAAAGAGTTATGTTACAAAAATCAACATTCCAAAATCCCGGAAGCGGTCACGGTTCTCCTGCTAGCGCTTCGAGTAAGTCCCAAGTTTTTGTTTAAATCGATTAATAATGGTTTTGGATAAAAATAGTTGATTAGTTCTTTCTGGTAAGGTGATTCGCATGTCATATGACTGTTTAATTATACTTTAGTTATAGTTTTTCTAGTCGAATAGTGGTTATTGTATGTAGTTATAGTAATAGTACATAGTAGCGAGATTCGTCTCTTCTATCGAGTCTGATTGGCAGCGGCTTCACGGGACAGAGCGTCGCAGGGCTGGTTTCTGTTTTCCTCTCATGGATCAGGTAGTTCTTCCACGATCAACTAACTTGTGTCGACTGCTCAATATATGTTGTTACAGTACTTACCTGTCGACTCCGTGTCTTCATGTCTGTTTAAGGATGTCAACCATCTTGCATGGATTCTTGTACGATCCTGTGTATAAAGCGTCCAATAATAGTTTACCTAATAATGACTCAAATGAAAGTTTCTAGTGTATTATGCAATACTAATATAAATAAAAAATACTGGAATAGATGACATATGAGTTTATGTAGATAAGAATTTGTAATTATTATTTTACAGGCTAGTCATGCCACTGTTGCCCAAGTGGCATGCGACTCTCTTCTCTTGTTGTGTGATAAAGCCGATACTCTATTGGAATTGTATCCAAACGTGCCATGTAAAATAATTCAAGTAAGTTCCTCTCAAAATCGTAGCGGAATTCACTTTCCGATTAGAATAGATATATTAATAATATCTTACAGATTCTGTCAGAAACACTTGGCTATATGAGCACTCGGGAGAGGCGCGGTCCTTTGACGATATCAATGTTGTTCTGCTTGGGCGAATGGGCTATGCATCTTGGTCCGTCGGTCTTACTACGCGTGTTTCAAGGAAAACCTCTTCTGATGACTATGTTCACAGTTAGTAATAAAATTCGAAATGTTACGTGAATTAAATGCACCTCTAAAATTTTGCGAATATAGGTTCTGGATAACGTTGTGCAAGATAAAATCGGAAAAGATGGTTCGCAATCGGCTAAAACTCATGAAGATGAGGATGACGATTTCGATCCTGATATTACTTTGGACAACTTAGCCGACGACGCCTGTGCTAAATCGCCTCGTCGAGGCAATGTCCAGTCCGTTCAGTTGGCAGCAAAAATGGTAGGATATCTTAGATATTTCATTCTCGTGAAGTTATATTAGTTTCTATTAAAATATCTTGCTTAGGTAATGATGCATTTAATAAATCATTTGGGACATTTTCCAATGGGCATCGGAGCTGCGCGATTGTCTTCGTTAGTCGTTGAACTGGACGATGTGCCAGGAATCGACGGCGATGAGCTGTCCTCTGCCATTTTTCACGCGCCGAACATACAGCTTTTAATGTTATCAAACTCTATAATAATGTCGCTGGTTGAATTGGCAGCGCTTGATGCCCCTGGCGGAGGTGTCACCGCTGGATTGACGACAGCACCGTCATTAGTTAGAGTATTGTTACGAGATTTAGCTGGGAAAGCGTCTTGGGACAGTTCTATTTTATATAGTCAACCATTTGTCGAAGACGATACACCGGTCGTATTTACGAAACATGGTAAGGAAAATGATTATCACTTATCTATCGTATTAAATAGCTTCAATTACAAAATTCATTCATCTTCGCAGTTGAATGGAAATCAAAAACGCATGGAGAAGATCTGAGCAGCGTTACGACATCGCAGACGTGCACACCTCGACATACGATAAGACATCGCGAGCCTCATATATTGCCTACGTTTGCAAATGCTGCGAGCGACATGGATAACTTAGATGATGTATATTTCCATTCGTTTTCGACGTGGCAATCATTTTGTTCATCAAATGTTATCAATATAATTGTGTTTTTAGCTCTTACAATATATAGGATACACGAGTCCTGAAGTATTAACGAATCCAGAAATAGCACTTAACGAGCCCGCTAATCCGCCACAGGGTCTATGCCTTGAAAGTGAAACCATCGCAACAATTCTCAATCAGAGGAACGCGGAACAAGAGCATATCAACAATTGGAATCAGCACATTAGGTACAATAAAAAAATAAAATATTTATTTACGTAACTTATATTCACATGGTCGTATATGTTTCAGCATGTGCGCTTCAGCAATAAGTCCACCGTCGTGTCGCGCACCCCCCGCGCCATTTCATCACTGCCGCCTTTTGTTTTCGCACTTGGGCTTATCTGGTTGGGAACAACGTAGAAAATTGCATTTATTATCGAAAAACGAGAAGCTTTTACGAGAATTACGAAACCTCGATAGCCAACGATCTAGGGAGACGCATAAAATAGCGGTGATATACGTCAGCCAAGGACAGGAAGACAAGAATTCTATATTAAGCAACGTTACCGCTAGCAAAGAATACGAGAGCTTCGTCGCGAGATTAGCTTGGGAAGTCGAGCTTGAATCACATACAGGCTTCCTCGGAGGTCTCGTCCCGGGGAAGGCATCCGGCGTCACGGCACCATACTTCGCAACATCTTTTACTGAAATTCTATTTCACGTAGCTACCAGAATGCCTTCCGACAGTCCCGAAAGTTTATTGCAGAAGGTAATTATTAATCATACGTATACAATCAGGTATATCTAAAATTTAATTATTCCAGACTCGACATCTTGGTAACGATGAGGTTCATATAGTCTGGTCTGAGCATTGGAGGGATTACCGTCGTGATATTATACCAACAGAATTTTGTGATGTCTTGATAGTGATCTATCCATTGCATAATAAATTATACAGGATCCAGATTTCTCGGAAGCCAGAAATCCCATTCTTCGGGCCTCTATTTGACGAGTGCATCGTGGAAGATAAAGTTCTACCTGGGTTGGTGAGAACTACGGCTTTGGCAGCGAGTCGGGCGAAACGGTCTACACTTACGTTATATCAACATTAGTAAGTATAGGATTCTTCAATCTGTTCAGTCTTGATTATGTCGTATTCGTTTTTAATATAAAATATTATAGTTATGAAGAGAGAGCGAGGTCTATCGATACTGTAATGAGAAATCATAAAGAAGCAACTACGTTCGAAGAATTCACAGCAAATGTATACTCTCCAGTCCAGCCGCCGAGCCCATTCAGTGGAGCGTCTTCAGTATCTGGTTAGTTACGAATATATTAACAAAGAAACAAAATGACTACCATTTATAGACGGAAAGAAAGAGTTCATCAAGTCTGTAGGCATTTTCGAATGTGGAAATTAGCCGCACAGTGAAATGCAAATCGTGTTTATTTACCATCAGACTCAATATTCACCTCGATAGCGATTATTTTAGTTTCTCTCACATAGAATGTTGAATTTTCATTTTCGGATAGTTCTTCGCATGATTTAGATCAGTCATTATTATTATTATTGTCAATATCACACTATCAGGATCTACAACAAGCGTGCAATCCACAGCATCGTCAAACCTCGCAGCAGCGCTTATAGATTCGCATCAGGGTCGATCGGGTCTGCGAAGTTCTTCAGCAGCAAGCAGTGATAACCGCGCGAATAGAGGTGACTAATTCAGTCCACTAATCCCCATCCACCTTGTAACACCACCTAAAAAGGTAGTACTATAATTTATTTGTTTTTTTTTTGTTTCTTTGCTGTGTTTCTCTCCAGCGTGCTCTCATCTCTACAAAATGTGTATCCTGTTTTTTGTCTGTTTTCTTATTAGATTACCTGGTAGTTTGTTTTGTGCGTTACAATATGTTTTAGTAATTATGCAAACTTGTGCACCACTTTTATGTTTCATCCGGTGTATTCAAACCCACTTAATTGTATAAAAATTACGCGGTAACTTTACACACTTTCTATCCAGAGTAACGTTACGAATTCTTGTTAAATATGTATTTAATGAAGACGAACGTGGGCGGATATATTTTATCAGAAATAGAAACAAGGTTGTGGGATATATGTATATAGCTAATCTTTATTTAATATTCACATATCTCTTAATTCTATTTTTGTTTAACAGTCTTACACAATCTCTTCAGAGGTAAAATTTTCTTCCTACATGCATATTAGACTTAGATCAAGACATATTCTTTACATTTATGTCACACTACGTGTGTTAATGTTGCTTCGTAGCTTGAAATAGTGCGCAGTACTATACATATTCTCGTAATTAAAAGATATACACATTTTCCTCTCATCTTTAAGGATGTATTGGCTATACAGTCAATCCCAAAAGTTTATGTACCTTCGAAAAACGCATTTCCTATAATTAAAAAGAAATCAGACGTCGGAAAAATAATGCTAATAACAAATAGCTACGTGCTAAAAAGTATAGAAGGAAATATCCAATTAAGTATTGACG